TGTTCCCATCAAACTGGATCTAAGTGTGATGGATGTGTAGATTTTGTGTAGTGGGGTTTACTCAAGGAGGTATCCTATGTTACCCTGTGCCAGGGGAAGCCCCATTCATTCCAATGGGCAAAATCAGCTTGGGTAACAGCATACCTAGAGTGGCAGTGTATTCTCCCCTCTGGCATCCAAAAAAATCTTGCCCGGCTTTTAGAAGTGCATATGAAACTATCTTCAAGATTAATGTAATATTTAGATGAGCTGCAGGACAGATTTAAGGAAAGGAGACAAGTACACCTTGAGATCCTTTGAGGGTTGAGATACATGCCTTACATGTACAAACACTGTATGCTTTAAGATGAGAACCTGTTGAATTTTCTTCTGAAATATGGGAAGAATGGGATACTCAAAGAACCATTTTTTTTGCCCATCCTTAATGACACAAATTATAAAATAGCTATTATTCTCTACTATCTGAATCTAGAAACATTATTTCAAAGTCCGCAGACGGAGCTCTTCTGCACACAGCAGACAGTGAGCCGACAGGGACGTCTGCAAAGATCTGTTGCCTTAATTTAAATTAATGACTTTGTTCCAGCGGATGGGAGCGCTTCAGCCACACAGGCTCCAAAAAGCAATGTTCTTAAGCCTTTGCTGGTTAGAGGGCATACCTTCTTTAAAAAATCACCATTACAATATTAGGTCAAGGTCTTTTTGTCTTTTTGCTTTTCCCTTTAGAATTTCAGATGGTTTCTTCAATGAGAGAGTGTGATAGAGCCACTTGCTATGTAATGCTGCGCAACGGCAGAGGCTGAATGGATGCATCCCATAGGCACACTGCCTTGAGATTCACAATGGAAGTGGGAGTTTGCAGGTGCATTAAATATATTTCTTCACCTGTCTGAACTCATTCTTTTGCTAGAACTAGGTCCCATTGAACCAAAGCAGTTGTTACTCGGCAACAAGACACCGTTCTTTATGAGAACATGATGCGATTGGAGGCTTCAATAGTACACCAACTCCTGTGTGCTCAAAGATCAATGGTTCTAAATGATCCCTTAGAATGACAGCCTGGCTGCCTTGCACCAAGGAGGCTTTCTCTGCAACACTGTATGACATTGAAAAAATCCAACCCCCCACAACACACACATAAAAGGAATGTTTCACTGGAAGCTGCCTGTTGTTGTTGTTGTTTAGTCATTTAGTTGTGTCTAACTCTTCGTGACCCCATGGACCAGAGCATGCCAGGCCCCCCTGTCTTCCACTGCCTCCCGGAGTTTGGTCCTAGACAGAACAACATCACATGCTCATCTTGATCAGAGGAGGGGAAGCCTCTGTTTTGCTGACCTAATCATGATCCTTACCTCTGATCAGTGCTCCTTTTGCACAAGGTCATCTACCCACTCCACCAGACCATCCCAGTCAATGCTTCTCCTGGTTGCCCACTCTGAAGGAGGCCCAGAAATCAACGATAAAGACCCAATCCTTTTTTTGCTGTGGCACCAACACACCAGAATCAGCTCCCGATGGAGATGCGCTTGGCTCCCTCCCTCCTAATGATCAGAAAGCTTCCGAACATATTGCTCTAGAGAAACCTTCCAATGCAACCCTGCTGCACGATTTCTATGTCTTATATGCTGCCCTATATTTTGATTTGTGGCTCTTGTAGCATCTGATTTTATCCCTTGATTGGTTTGATTGTGATTTCATTGTTGTAATGTTCTATTACTTTGCTATAAATCGCTCAGAATAGTGCTTGAGAATTAATTAATTAATTCTCAAGCACTACTCTGAGTGGTTTATAGCTCAGAATAGTTTAATTAATTAATTAATCGAAAATAAGGATCTGTGTCTATTATTTTGCTATAAATCGCTCAGAATAGTGCTTGAAAATTAGTTAATTAATTCTCAGGCACTATTCTGAGTGGTTTATACCTCAGAATAGTTTAATTAATTAATTAATAGAAAATAAGGATCTGTTTCAAGACAGGAAAGTTTTGAAGTGAAATGAGCTTCCATTTGCAGACTAGGAAGCTTTTGCATTGAAAAGCAACACGTATTTGCTATAAATCGCTCAGAATAGTGCTTGAAAATTAGTTAATTAATTCTCAGGCACTATTCTGAGTGGTTTATACCTCAGAATAGTTTAATTAATTAATTAATAGAAAATAAGGATCTGTTTCAAGACAGGAAAGTTTTGAAGTGAAATGAGCTTCCATTTGCAGACTAGGAAGCTTTTGCATTGAAAAGCAACACGTATTGACATTTTACATGGCACAAGCGCTTATTATTCACTGATGGGCAATGTTTTTCATGCTCAAAGCTGTTGCAGTACAGCCAATTAGGAAGATTGACTCCTGCCCCCATCTCTAGCATTTAGCCCCATCCACCATCTCTGTGAGACCCTTTTGGAACTGGAAATGTGGCCTTTGGGAGGAAAAGGGTTCTGCATCTCTGGCTCTGAATCTGGGATCACATGCATGAAATCCATCTGGTTTGCCTTTTACTTAATAATTTACTCAGGTAGAATCAGCAAAGGAATATGTTGAGACACACCAATAGCTGGCAGGCTAAACAGGTTTTCTGACAGTCGTGACCTCAGCTACGAGGATCAAGTTTTCTCCTTCCGCTGCGCTATCTCCCAGACCCTTTTCCTTGCTCACACAAACTTATGACAGAGAGCTGAGGACTGGCTTTTAAATATATGGATCAGAATGGGCAGATTTTAAAGCAACAAAGGGCAGACCCTTGTGGTGTCATGGAGTGTTTAAGCCTTAAACTTTAAGGGCAATTGCCCAAGCTATGAGTGCTATTTTGTGTACTGCTGATTGTGCGTGTGGTTGTGTCCTAATACCACAAATGAGTACATTCCAGTCATGGGATGGACATCCCTCATATAGTGAAAACTGTTTATACAACTGCCTACATGTGTGGCAAAAGCGAACAGGATCGTGGCCAAAGCCTTTCCATAATGCTACGTATTAAACCACCAAAACTGAGTGCCTCTGATAACAAAACTATTGATCTGCTGAATACACTGTCAATATTTCTTCCAATAAGAAAAATATATTTTAAAATTTCTCTGACAGCCAAGTGGCCACACACCACAATTCAGTTTTGTTGCAATAAAAACTTAGCCAAGGACATGAAATTTTAAATACTAGGTTAACTTTTTATTGCAGCCAAAAAAGGGTTTCTTGAAGACATTCATCTTCTTCTGCATCAAAGGATGCAGACTGTGCAGAAAATTGGATTGAAATTTCTGTGCCCTTTCGGGTTGAATTTATGAATCTCATTTTGAAGCTAGCCATATTTGTGAAAAGTTACCCAACCTACACACCTGTTCTATACTAGAGATGAAATAACAGCATAATCATAGTAAGAGGCAGCATAAATTTTATCTATATAAGAAAGAAAAGGTTACTTTCTGCAGGAGCGGAACATGTGAAAAGTAGAGTCAAAAGTGTCTCTTCATTGCCGATTTCTGAAGTCTGAAACTCTTGCAATACAGATATAAGCGTTCATCTGGCCCTTTTATCACAAGGCTGAGGAACTGTTTTCTGCCCAAGGGCCAACTTCAGTGTCAGAGATGTCTTTGAAGGCTGTGTTCCTGTGGTCATGGTGCGTGTGAAAAGTAAACAAGCAGGAACCAAATGACTGGCAGATTTAGCATAAAGGTTTTGTTGTCAGTAACTAAGTCTTATGAAGGGCATTCCCTCCTTTTTAGAATTGGGGGGGGGGGACATAAAAAACTGGTAATCCATCCAACAATGGTGTTATGGGGAAGGAGCCATAGCTGGGCTGGATTCAGCCAAAAGCCTAAGGTCAAACCCATCTATCACTTATGTTTTCATACCTCAGTCTCAGCTCCCTCTGAAATTTGTTACACCTTTGCTAAACAGATGTCTGGGTGGAAATTTCTTTTTAGTAGAAAAACATGTGGCACCTTGAAGACTAACCATTATATTTTAACATAAGCTTCTGTGGACACACCCATTTTGTCAGACATCAAGTGATGGAATGAAACGAAATGTATATGAAATAGCAGTTTCACATTCTAAATGTTCATTGATTACATGCAGTAATTAGGCCTGTTAGTTCACCTGTGTTTCTATCAGCGTGCTGCTGTTCAACCTTAATCACTCACTTCTGGTGAATCTGCATCTGATGGATATATTCTTTGAAAACAAAGGACAAATGACAATATGATGTATGACTCAAAGAATACTGTGAACTACCTGCACTCTTGCATAACTAGGTGTGCAGCCTGGGTCACATCTGTACAGAGTTACACCCCATGGCCTTTTGTAGGGGTTGTGAGGGATCCTGGGATGCAAATCTCCAACTGCAGGCTGAGGCCGCTTAATATTGGATCATCAGACTTTCGGCTCATATGAAATACTGCCTACTTTAAATGGTAGAAACACTTTGGGGTCTCAGGCAGACTTGCTATACCTTTCAATTGGGTCCGATGGTAAACCTGGAACCATTTGCACAAAAACATGTGCGCTACCACTAGGCCATGTTCCTGTTTGTACTGGAGATGGGGATGGGATCCCCCAAAATATCTCACCACATGTGGTCCTAAACACATTGATCTCATCTGATTCTAGAAGCAGAGTTAGGGCTAGTAGCATTTGGACGGGAACAACCCCATAATACCAGGGATTTACAGATCAAAGACAATAAAGAACCCTTCCCAAAATCCTGGAATGTTGATGCCACCCAAAGTTGCCAAAACGGGTCTAGATGGGTCAGTGAAAGGACTCTTCCTACGTTCTAATGTTTTGGCTTTGCTGGATTGCTTCCAACTGTGTCTCCCAATGGCATGTCTACATTACTTTCCTCTTTGCCTATCAACAAGGCGAAATTTGCTTTTTGTTTTAAAGGGGCCCAAACAGTTCGAGAACTCGTGGCATCGTGTTTGCCTTTCTTGGAAATAATAATAATATTATCATCAGCATTAGAAGCTGTTTCAGACCAGAACCTCTATAAAGAAAAGAGAGACAGTATGGCATTTGATTACAACTTTATTTCGAAGTGTGTTATTTGATAGCTTCACCATACCTGCTTTCCTGACCCGCAAGACAAAAGTTCTCCCTCTCGTCCATAGGCACACCCACCATTTGCGTTCAAAATGATGGGAAATGGGAAAGGCATGACCAAGTTCTTTTCGGCTACTAAGTTGCTGCAGCAGCAGCCGTTGAGAGGCCGCACAGCGAAAACATTCAGCCGTCTTCACCTATTTGACAAAGGACAAATATTCTGGTGATGATGCTGAATCTTTTTAGTTTTGTGTATCTCAACGCTGATCCAATTTACCAAATTGTTCTTTTGAGATTTGCCCAGCGACTCTTTGCTCCCTGGGCAGCCTTCACTTCTCTCCACTCTGGTATGATATCAGAAACTTCATCCTCAGGCTCAGGATCTTCCCTCACCGGCCCTTGGGGCTTTGCAACAACGATGGGCAGTGGGCCACATTCGTCCCGAAATTCTACTACGTAGAGACTCTTCTCATCTGCCAGCTTCTGGTGAGTTTTCTAGTTTGGGAAAATAAAAGGAGAGTTTTCCAAGTCAGAAGAGCTATAGTTTCTCTAATTACAAACTCAGCATGTTTAAACGGTGCCATTTCAGCACAAAGGGCAAAACAAGACTTGTCATATTGTCTTTCCAATCTGGTATGACCTCCACAAGCTGGCTGGATAGCTCAGTGAGTGAGGCATCTAGCTGCAGAACCAGAGGTTGGGAGTTTGATTCCTTGCTCCCAGGGGAACAGCCAGCCAATGTAGCCTTGGGTAAGTGGCACAGTCCCAGGGCACCCTCTTCCCCTATACAAGAAGAAGTGAAGGGTAAACCACTTGTGAATACTTTCTACCTAGAACACCCTGAAAGATATTGATATATATCAAAACTGACTAGACAGCACACAATTCTTCTTATTATGAACTTCACAGAACCCACAAAGCAATTCTGTAAAGCAACACTGTTAAGAACACAAATACTTGCAGATTCCTTAATTATCAAAATATATTTTAAATACTTCCAAGCTGCCTTCAAGGAGAAAGATATCCTCAAGACAGAATCCAAAATAAATTTCAATGCACTAATAAAATATACCAGGCAAAATTTAAAGAAACAAAATAAAACAAACAAACAAAAGACAAAAATGTGTAGCACCTAAAAGGCT